TAAATTAATAGTGTCCTGTAACTGCTAACTTTGGTTTTAAAAAAAATTATAAGTTATAAATTAAAATTGGGTCTTATGAGTAATCACTTATAACGGGAATTTCTATTTAAAGTACTTAAAAATAGGTTATAATTATAAAATTACCCTACCATCAGGGAGCAGATAAACGACAACGACGAGTATATTATTACATTATTATTATATTTTTTGTATATTAATTGATCTCTCGGATTTTGTGCATTTGCTCTAAGAAATAAAATATGTGTCTAAACAGGGGTAGGTAGCATCATATTTTTCATGAAATTAAATTTTTATTTGAAGTATAAAAAATAAATGTAAGCACCAAAAAAATATGAAACCAAAATTAATTACTTTAAACATCGACGCTTTGGGGCTTCGGTGAAATTCCTGATATTACATGTGCATTGCGGAATAAATCAGATATACGACAGCACTAAGTCTGAAAATATTGAGATTTGAAAAAAAACCGTACGGGTCGCTTCATGTTTCTTCTTATTCATGTCTGCAGCTTAGCTAACTGAAATTTTAGATCGATTGCGTCCAGAGGCGGATTTATCTTTTTTACGGCTATAGGCACCAAAAATTTGCCGCTCCTATAATAGGTGAAAAAGTTACAATACCCCTCCAAAATACCTACTCTAAATATTTAATATATAGACAATAGTAGTGGACGTCCATTTTAATTTTTAGACTATTTTTTTCGCCTGAAGTTATTTACGACACGCGACTCGATGTTTCAAACACAGATTGCGAAATAATATAATAATTTAATAACCAAATTTTTGATTATTATTATCATTATTCGTTACAGTTCTGAGTTCATATGATTGTCATATGTCGAATTAGTAATATAGTGTGGCAGTGTGAGTATTTATTTTTATCGAAATTACGACGACGCGCGACGTCGATCCCCGATAAGAATAATAAAACCATTGTTGCTTTATATATTTTTATGACCCATGCGGGCTCTGGGTGGACTATACCAACGTGTTAAAATATATAGTATTATCAAAAACTGTTTTCTATATAATTGTTTACTATAATATTTATAGGTAATGACTATAAATTATAATGAACCAAAATAGATTGGTATACTGAATATCATATACGATGTACTATATGTTTGATGTTTTTTAATAAAACACTACAAAATTTGCCGCCCCCCAAATTTTGCCGCCCTAGGCAGCTGCCTACAATGCCTAATGGGAAATCCGCCTCTG